AAAAAAAAAAAAAAAACAACAACAACAACAACAACAACAACAAAAAAACACAAGGCGGGAGAATGTGAAATTTCAGGGAAATATCATATATGATATATGCCAGTTTCAGTGAAAATTTGCCGAAAATGAAACCACCTATTATTAACCATTAGTGGAACACCAACACTTTGCAACTGTCCACCATGTTTCCTTCCAGTTCTGTAACCCACGAGTGCTCTGTTGATCCCAGCAGAATCGTAACGCACTACGCCAAAAGACATCTCAAAATATTTTATCATATCACTGACATTTTCATCAATCCTCCCTCCCGGGAGTATTATTCCCTCCCTCTCTCACGGTGAGGGGATTACCCAATCTCCTGACTTCTCTACTTGTTTAGTCCACCATGTATCTAGTTACGGCTGTTTCATGCCCTTCATGGTTTTCCTCTTCGTCTACATCTACATAAACAAACGTCTATATACGACAAAAAAAAATGAATCCCCTCCATATACATCTCTGAAAACTCGTTGCCTTCAACGCTATGCTTCACCGAAGCCCTTGGCAGACAAATCACCATCGTTTCGTTTGATTTTAAAGTTTAAACACGTCACTTCCCAGATGATGAAAGCTCTCTGTTATCCCATCTCCGCTCATAACGGGGTTGACTTCAATCTCATGCCACGGTATGACTGTACCCATATGTTCTGCGTACCCTGGGGGAAACTCGCCACTCTCCGATTCCCACAACAACATTAACATTCCAACAAGTAGGAGGACAAGCACTGCCGCCCTCTTCTTGATGCTTTGCCGCACAGCTTTTAGCCTTTCACTTCCATGTGGGTGACGGCTTGTTGGGAGGTCGAGGTGGGGGTCACACACCCTCCACTCAATTCACTTGTGACTGATTTCAAGCCCGGACTGAGGTCCAGCTCCACAGCACCCCTCCCGGAATGTCATATCGCCCACCTCTCCCTCCTGACACTCAATGGGAGCAAAGGGTGGGTGCCACCTCCCTCTTCTCCTTGGCCTGTCAAACACACCACTTTCAACGCCAGGTGACGCTAAGTTGGCTAGCAGATAGTACAATCCATGTCCGACTTCCCGGATCGGAGTATCTGGACCAGGCCCCATCATGCTATATTCATGCTTGGAACGCATAAACCTGGCTGTAATAGCACCCAGGTTCGTGCTTCTCAGCTTGGGCATAGCACTAGTGGGCCCAGGTCCATGCTTTCTGAGCGTGAGCATAGCACTAGTGGGCTGTGGCCCTCACTCGTCTCTTCCTCCTTCATCAAAAAAAAAAAAAATCAGGAAACTGCTCCCAGTGACCCAAAAATAGGCCTCCTCTATAGGTGTGCAATACCCTCCGCTACTAACTCCATGCTAACAATATGTACCCTCCTAGCCTTGGACTCGTCTGATGCCATCGTGGACATATGCAACTTAGGGCCCTGCCCTGCTCCACCACTCACCACATGCACGAAAGACAACAGTTACGGTGCTGTATCTTTCCATGTTCAAGCGGAAGATTCATTCTCATTTTGAACATTTGACGAGCAGGGGAGCGAGGTCCTTACATCCGGGGCTACGGTGCTAACTACTACTGTCAACCATCTCTCATTCAAAATCATTTATCCCCTACTCACGTCGCGCTAACCATCATCCCCTCTCTCCTAGCCTGCTAGGTTCCTAACAACTACTGGCACGCATTGCATCCACAAATGAACGAAGAGATTCGTTCACGCCTTAACTTATACATAGGGCAGATTCAATCAGGCCTTAACTTATACATAGGACAGATTCGTTCACGCCTTAACTTATACATAGGACAGATTCGTTCACGCCTGCACTGTGAGCAGATGCTAACTACACAGCATTCAGCTACTTCCCGTACCGTTTTCCTTCGACCTTTCTCCC